CACGTTAAGTACGACTATTTAAAAACCCCAGCAAACTTTGTCGTTCTGACAACAACATTTTAATTACCTTAATAAAAGATGGTTTCATTTCCTATGTACACTCCCTCTTCAAATGTCACCAACATATTTAATTAGCCACACAGTTTGTATTGATTTAAGCATTTACAATGTGTTTCAGTCTTTTCAAAGCCCGCAATATGACTTTTTTGTATTGTCACAAGTCTGATTTTGTCATGCTGAACGCTATGTCCTTACCGCTCGTTCAATTCTCAATGGCGCTTAATAAACTAAATACGTTCTAGTCATCTCAGTTCAATCAAATGAAGGTCCATTCTATGCCTATTCATTCAGCCTCCTTTACCTCTCAAACACTATCGATTTAAAAGCCACAAGCGTCCTTGTTCCTTGCCTGTTAGTCTGTGCGTGAGGAAAAGCTTTTAAGTAATCAAGAACCGAAGAATGCAGTTCGAAACTAAAATGTGTTTTTCACTAATTCACTTAACAGGAGGGTATAAGCCGAGTTGAGGCACAGTGTTCAAATTCCATCAAAGGTTGTGCCAGGCTCACAAGACGGATTCTGTGCCAGCTTAGCAGGGGACAATAAGTGATGAAATTGGTTTCCACTAAGGACTTGCCGCATTTTTTGTGCCCGTCCACGGCATGTGTGCCACAGTGGTCACATGGTGCTCACGTCCTTGTACTCAGACACACACACAAATGCCGCCACAACCTCAACAGCACATTCACGAACAAAAGCCCGTGGCCCAAGTCTATGTCAAGTTTGAGTGGCTGCCACACTCCATCACCCATGGTCCATCCTCCCAGTCTTATCTCTAAGCCGTCTCAACCGCCTGCACTCAGAAAAACGATTCAGTCAACACTTTTCGAGCATTGGGAAGTGTTACGCTTGACATTATCTGGTAAGAACTCTCTTGGCCCAACACGAGTGTACTCTAGTACCAACATTTTTATAAGAAAATCTATACCAGCAGAGACATGGAATGCCGAAATTTGCCACATTTTTCTCCAGGTATAAAGAAACTGACAACACAGGCGGCTTTTCCACTTGGAAGCCTGCCAAAAACTACACACAAGTTGCAAAGACGAAGAGCATAAGTGATGGGGGTAAAGGCAAACGAATTTTAATTAAATTTCCTTCTTTTACCCACTGAAGTGCTACATCTTAGCCGCTTACCATTGTTTGAATATAAATATTAAAATCTAATACTATGCTTGCATTTCAATTTCATATTTATGCTGTGTTAAAGGTTCAATCGAGTTTAGAAGAATCCCAGCCAAAACAAACAATAATAAAGCAATAAACAACAATAGCAACAGTGTGTCTTAGTAGGCAACCCTTTTGCATAACAATAAGGCAACTCTGGCAGAGCCAACCAATGATTTGTGCAAATGCCTTTGACGTCGCCTTCAAGTTCTTCACTTCCTTAGCCGACAAACATTTTCTCTCGTCGCTCGAACCGTATACATTTGCATAATAATTACAACTAAACTTTTGCTGCTCGAGCATGAAAAGCCAAGCTGTTTAGGAAAGTACTGCATAAATATTGCCAGGCGCCTGAATTCAGTCAATGCGCCCTGATGAAAATGTGCCATCTTAATTGTGTCGTTGTCTAGAATAGTTGCTTGTCTGCAACTCTAGATGCATCTTTAAGTTTATTGTGCTCAGACGAATAGAAAAATTGAACATGGAAAAACATATCTTTTAATTTCATTATGAGCTTCGCTTATGTTTGTAGTTATACAATTGTGTAGGCTTCTATATTCTGCTATTCTTTTCTTTTCTATTCTGTTCTTTCAATTCAATTCTATTCTTTTCCATTTCTCAAAAAGCTTACTTTGTTAATTTGTAGATGTAAATGTTTAAATTGTGATGGCCTTGAAGGTTATATAACTAACATAGCGAAAGAAAGGTGAACTTTTGAACATTTGACCAAAATAAATTTGTTACCTAGGTGTAAAAAATTGCATTACCCTGCTAAAATGAGATGCACCGAAAGATCAACTAGTGAATTTAATCAAAAGTTGTTTGAGTCTGGTAAATATTATCCCAAAGTTCTTTAATAGGCGCTACATAAAAAGCAAGAAAGCCAAGTTGCCTAGCCTCCACCCACGTTTTAACGTGTTTCCCAGTAAACTGACTTCAATAGAACCCTCATCTAGGGGCCAGGACACACCGGCCCAACTACAGTCCTTTAAACAACCCATTTTCCCTCGTTTCAATTCAATCAACCATTAAACATGAGCCGCCGACCGACCGACTCGGCAACCCAGTGCTCGTCATGCTGACGATGACATGGCCCCTGGCCGTGGAGAAAGGTGTCAGAACACCGCACACGGGGCGCACCTGTCCCGCTCCCAATCCCAATCCCTATCCAGCACCCTCCTCCCCGGCGGAATACCCCTGGCCGTGACTGACTGACTGACGGTTTTGCGTGCCCAATTGTTAGAGGAAGTTGGATAAACATTTTGTTGCCCTACAGTTGTCATGACAAAGCTGACTGCCCCATTTCATATTTGGCCTAAACAAGAGAAACCGGCAACACAACGCTTGATGGGCACATTAACGAAATGTAGTCAGGCACGAAAGCAAAATATATTAATACCAATTAGCTGAAGTTTTGAATAGCTGAAATTCAAAGTTCAATGCCTGATAGAGAAAGTTCTCTTGAAGAAACAAAAAAAGTTGTAAAATTTAAATAAACCCCAAAGTTTTGTTTTTCATATCAAACTTTTTATAATCATTTTCCAATATATACATGTATATAAACGATTTTAAATATCATGAATAAACTAGTAGCCGTCAAATCCGCACCTGACTTTCTTGGGTTCTTAAGATGTACGTTACAACTGACTGCTTTCTAAGGTCTGGGTCTTGGAAAGTGTAAACGCAAACTAAAACCAAATGAACAAAACTGCTTGTTTGTGGTTAACCACAACACGGTAATACAATACCGATAAGGAATGCAGGAAAAGGGCTGCGAACTTGCCAACCCATGTGGATTAAAAAATCTTACTAATTTACAATTAAAAGAAACTGCATTACTAGTTAAAAAAAAAACTTGAGAATTTTTTAAATACACAAAATTAAATAAAAAGCTTGTTTATATGCTTTGATGCTTAGCTGTGTATGATATTCAAACCGCATTTTACTATAATAATTATACTTGCATATGTACACATATGAACATATTTACATTTTTTAATTTTAAATTTCAATTGGTTATGTAAAAATTAAGCGTAAAAACGGGTTTCTTGTCAACCAGTGTAATAAATGCTGTGGCCTAAGATGATTCAGTTGCCTCCATGACAAACAAAATTTGTGTAAATGCATGTGAGCTTTGATGTTACGTCACTTGTAGGTGGGTGACCCCCTGGGGGTGTCATTTGAATTTCAAAAGTCATCAGACTGTTCAGGTCAAAGGGGGAAATAGACAAGTTGATGAAATAATAATTGCAATTTAATTTAACAATCATAAAATACCCAAGATGTGTTGTTTTCAAAGAAACAAGATTAAAGAAGGCGCCATAGAGGTAAGCGGTATGGATAAATAGAAAATATGCAAATCTCATTTACACTGTTTATTCATCGAAGAGTTTCCAAGTGTACGGGTACAAGCACAAATCACCCTTCTGGAATTTTCTGGCAACGATTATAAACTTCCGCTTGAAACTTGTGTAGACAATTGTTTCTCTCGCACTTTATCTAAAAAGCAGAAATCTTTCGGAGCTATTCGTATCCAAGGTCCTAGGTTCTACGTAATCCAACCACCGCAATGCGTTGGTATCGCCTTAAATATGCCAAGTCCCTTACTATAATTTCTTATCTACAATATGCGATATCAAAAAACAGATATGGATGCAGATACTGCGATGCAGAAAACTGCTCTTGTCTGACTTCACAAATATTTTCCATTATTGAGAAAAAACATTTGTTCAGTTCAGTTATAGTTTGATTACTCGGAAAATGTTCGAATCATACTAATGGAATAAACAAGCTGTGTTTACCGAGTATAAATATTTAATAATAGGGCGAGACGAATGGAACTAAACGCGTAAACTATTGTATAATTGGCAAATATTTTATTAATAAACGGGAACACGAGTTAGGCAGATCGTGTTCAATTGCCCGTTTGAACCATTTTCAACCAAATGTTCATTTTTTTATCGATAGCTCACGTCTATTCTTATAAAACTATCCCAAGCTTACTTAATATATTATTAATACATTTATACATTTTGTAGAATTGTCAGTTCAATTAGCTAATTCACTTCCATACTGCAATCAGGCTGTTTTAGCTTTCTTCGACACCTCGAAATTCTATTTTTAATAGTCGTGCGCATAAATTAAGTTATATATTTTAGTGTGTTTGCTAAGTGACAATATATAGCTATAAACGACGACAAGATTTATGTGGACTCCGGGGATTTAATGAGCTGCTTTGAAAGAAAACAAATGCTAAACAAATTTTTAATGGGTTAACAAATGTGTTTTTAATGTGAAAATTAAAACGCGATTGGAAAAGGAAATTCATCTATATCAAACTTATCTATATTAGTTTTTCCAGCGAATAATAAACAACTCTTTATGATTTTGCCATAGATTTGATAATTACAGCCAAGAATCTTATCAACCTTATCACTCTAGTGGTCTAGACCCGCATGATTGCTACACTAGGAAAAACCCACAAATTGACTACAATCATGGGAAATTTCAAACATGTAATTATTTTAAATTAAAGAATTATTGACTTTGATGTAGTAACGATAAAATACCTTGAAAAGCACATTGATGAGTAACGAATTTCAATAATAAAAATGCGGAAGACGTAGGGAAGCCAAATAAAGAGCAAAAAAAAGGGCGAACAATAGCGCCAGTTAGGCATAATGTATAAAATAAACTTTTGCAATTGTTAAATATTATTATTGAACTTACATCACACACACAGCGAGGCAATTTTTGATTTCTGTGCTGCTGCTGATGATGATGATAATGATTATTTAGATAATTTCTTTATTTCGATATTGCTGGTGGCCGCACGAATTTGAAATTTGATTTCTTTTGATTTGGCTTTGTGTTTCGTATTTTGTTGATTTTTTGCCTGCTCTGTTGGGCGAAACGAAAAGAAATCGCGCTTATATTTCTGCTGTTTCTGTTTCAGTTTCTGTTTGTTGTTGCTGTCGCTTCGCGTTGCTTTGCTTTGCTTTGCTGACCGTTTTCTATGAATGAAAGAGGCACTGAGTAAAAGCAACAACTGCAACAAAACAGAGAGAAAAAAAGACGAGGCGTGACAGCGGAGATAAAACCGAATCGTTATGGGAAGGGGGCGGTGGGCGGTGCAGAGCGAAATGTAACGAAACGGGTTTTCACGTAGTTTGTAGCACAGTGTTGTGGCCCTGGAGAAAGAGAAACGGTGGAGACACGCAAAAACTTTTACACTGCCCAACACACACCGTGCGAAAGGGATGACGGGATGACGGGATGGAGGGCGAGGCGAGGCAGGGCTCAGCTGATTCTGATTGGGATTTTCGGGCATGCCACATGCAGCGGCAGCGGCAGCGGCAACGACAGCAACAACAAGAGCCTCTCTCACTCGCTCCGACTCGCTCTCCTTGCTGCAAATCGAATTTTATGTTGTTTATTTAGGTGACGCTCGCACACATCGGCAAACATTTCAATCCGTGCGCTGCACACTTGTTTTTCCCTCTCTAGCCCCGCATCCACGGCGATTTGTGCATTTCGCTGCCGTGCGGCGATCTTTATCCCAATCTTAATCTTTATTTTTATCCCAGGCAGGCTGGCTTTCTCCGCGCCGCACTCACACACACGCACACGCACACACACTCGACACTGGCACACACCTTGATGCGCTCCTTTGGCGAGACACTCATTTGATTTAAAGGCCTTTTCCGATTGGCACGCGCGTCCGCCACCCGCACACACGCGCAAAAACACAACCGTTTCGCTTAAAGTCTCGAAATCGAATGGCATGTTGCCCAACTTCCGATACGTTCTGTTCGTGCGGCGTTGCCACTCGATGGTCTGGTATTTCTGCAGTGTGACCGTGCCAACCGAGTCAAAACTCTTAAGTTGCTCTTAGGAACACTGCTGTTAACTGCATGTTACTCAGATGTTAAGTTTTTACCATTAAGAGAATTCTTTTCAGCTCTTTTTAGTGGTATTTTGAGAAATGCAATTTTTAAAAGTTTTGTATTTACGTGGACAGCTGACTTACATAAAAATAATATCACATAAACATGTAATTATAATTATTTAACATAATTTGATTAAGTATCCGAAATGTAGAAAATAAAATACCTAGGGTTGGTGTACAAATAACCCATGGTTGTTGTACGTACTAAAAAGATCAAAACTTAATGAGCTTTTCACACCCATCTCGTTCGAAGTAATGTTCTATTTTTTGAAAATTAAAAAAAAATAAAATAAAATTCTGTAATACCATATATAAGACATACCACTTTCATCTAATATATTTTTTAGACAGTTGCTTGGTTTTTGTTTCGTCAAATGTAACTTAAATCGAAATTCATCTTGAATACATGACTCAAACGAAAAATAGAGATCTTTTCCAAGATCTGATTTGTGCACACACTTAATACTTATGACGACGTTATAATAAGAAAAGGTTAGGAAATAAAATATCTTCGGTTCGCTGTGCTGCTTTGTACGTCCAGTGAAATAGACGTCTGTGTCTGAGAAAGGAACAACATGAAATACGTCGAGACTCCCGGTGGGAATCCATACCCTACTTAAAGCTAAGCTGCCTCACAAACGCCTCCCGACGTGCTAGTAATCGCGGTCGGGCTCCAGCTTGATTACCCTCTGCTGTATTTGCGCCAGCAAGGTCTCCTGCCGCTCCAGATAGGCCAGGAAGTGCTGCTCCATGGAGAGGAACTGCTTCTCCTTGTGCTCGAGCGCCTGCAGACAGGCGTCGTTCTGCTCCTCGAGCATCTTGTTCTCCTTGCGCAGCTCCTCCACCACGGCCATTGTGATCTTGCCCGTGTTGGGCAGAATACTACGTCGTCCTCGTCTCCTTTTGGTCGCTGAACGTTCGACGTCCGACTGGCCGTTGGCGTGGCCCGCATATGGCAACTCCTCTGCCTCGGGCAGGATGTGGTTTGCGGGCGTGAGTGGTGCCCGCCGAATGGCACTCTCGGCAGCAACTCCTGGCGCGCAGTGGTTAGTCGCCAATCCCAGTGGCGCCTGTGTGGGATTGTATTCAGTCTTCACCTGCTGATGGTGGTCGTCTTGTCGCGGCTCTGTCTTCACTACGGCGTGCACCAGGGGCTGGGGGTCGAGGAAGGCGCTTCCGTCCGGGTCGCGCTCGAACTTCAGCTGGGCGGAGCACGTGAGAGGCAGTGGCGGCAGGGCGGGCAGTTCCGACCGGGCTCTCGCGGCGGCCGCCTCCAAGACATTGCGCGCGTGGAAGACGTCCGCCGACGGCCGCGCCGGACGGAAGAGGCAGTCGATCAGCGGATAGAGGCGCCAGTCCGTCAGGAAGTCCGCATTGCCCTCCGCGCGGCTGCGCTCGTTCCTGCAGAGGAGGAGTAGGAGTAGCATTGCACATATTAGCACTGGGACCTGGCCGGAGCAGCGGCGACTCACAAATACTTGTTGCGGTAGCTGTTGATGCGCCGGCGAGCCTCCTGCTTGTTGAGGCGGACGCCGTGCTGCTGCAGCCCGTACGCGATCTCCCGGAAAATGGGCAGGTTGTCCGTGTAGGAGGGTATGTCGTGCAGGTGCTCGCGCCACAGCCGCACCAGCATCGCCTCCTCCAACGAGGTGTAGTAGCGCAATCGCAGGTGCTTCTGGCCGCTCATCTTTCGCTTTTCCGGTTGGCGCAGCCGCTAGCATCCAAACATTTTCGTACGTGACCAAGGACCAGGCGAGGCAAGCGCGGGAATACCAAGAACGCTAGGTGCCAAAAGATACCACCAATGGATTTTACTTTAAATTTACATACTCTTGCAGCTCTTGAAATCCTCGGAGGTTAGAAAATATTACATTTAAATAATTATGCACATAGGATTTATATTTCGATCAAATGCATCTTATTTTAACACTTATTTGTAATACTTAGCTATCTATTTTAGCTATCTAAATGTTATGTTACAAGCAAATTTCTAAGCAATAGCTTCAAATGTAAAATATAAGTAGACTGCATTCCCGAAGAGTGGTCACCCTAGGTGTGGGCATTTTCGGCCTTCTAGCGCCGCACGGTCACACTCTTCTGTGTATCAGAGCTGTTGTTGATTTTTTGTGCAGAAAAACTACTCTTGGCTTCCCGTGTGTCCACCGTCCACCATTGTCGCACTGCGTCGCGTTGTGTAATTGCAGCAGAGGCCGCACACCCAGAGGCGCTGGAGCAGAGAAGCATCTGCGGGAGCAGGAGCAGGAGCAGGTGCAGAGCCGTCGATGGACTACGAGAAGCTGGCGTTGAACGCGGGCGGAAGCGGCAGTGGTGCCGAACTCGATTTGGGCATGTGCGGTGGTCAGGAGCTGCTCGAGGGCAGGGGCAAGGAGAAGGCGCGGCGCTACTGGACGCCCAGCGAGGAGGAGCGCCTGTACGAGATCTGGGGCCGCGACAACTGGCGGCTGACGCGCACCGGCAAGAACACCATCTTCTTTGGCCGGTGGTCAGAGGAGTTGCGCGACCGGTTCGCCGTGGACGTGAAGCCCGAGGAGATCCAGATGAAGGTCAACCAGACCAGGGCCAAGTTCAGGTAGGTAGCCGTTTGACCACATCGTTGTACTGTGCTAACAGAGCGATTTCCTCTCAGGCAAGTCAAGAAACAGCTGCAGGCGGATCCCTCCAGCCATGCAACGCGCTGGAAGAAGTACGACATCATCAACCGCATCCTGAAGAACCTGCACAGGCCCAAGAATGCCGATCCGCTGCCGCCAGAGGCCCTGCTGAACAACCGCGACATGACACCGCCGCGGGATGAATCGTCCACGGAGCAGTTGCAACAGCAGCAGCCACAGCAGCAATCCGTTCAGCAGCAGCAGCAGCAGGGCTTGGGACTGACCAGTGAGCCGAGTACGGCCACCTTTTATAACAGCAGCAGCAATAGTAATCACGGCAGCAGCCACAACAACAACAACAGCGGCGGAATGAGCTTTAGCACGGAGCTGTTTACGGACCAGTACGACGAGGTGGTTAAGCAGGAGTACGAGGACGAAGAGTACCGCTCCATTCCCTTTCAAGAGCAGCTGCAACAGTATTCACCAGCCGAGACCACTCAGCTGCTCGAGTTGCAGACGCCACAACAGCAGCAACAACAGCAGCAACAACAGCAGCAACAGCAGCAGTTCCAAGCGAACTATGAGCCGCAGTTTCAGCAGCAGCCGGCTCAGTTTAATAACAGCATTAATAGCACAGCGGCCACATCGACCGTCAACCACCAGCCCATTACGGCGGTAGCCTATATCAATAGCAGCAATAACACCATCAGCGTGGCCACAAACGCAAACGGTGGCATGCCCGCGCCGGTGTCGGCGCAAGTTCCAGCCTCAGCTCCGGGCTCAGCTCTAGCTCCAGCTCCAACCGCCAATAGCGCCGTCGTTGGCGCCTCCCCCGTTCCTGTGCCACGGAAGCGCGGTCGTCCATTCGGCTCTGTGAATCCCCCACACGCAGATTCGCTGGAGGCGCTCTACATGGAGGAGGTTCGGCGAAAGAACCAGCTGCTCTACGAACAGACCAAGATATGCCGACAGCGACTGGAGCTGGAGGAACGCAAGGTCGACCTCATGCAGACCTTCTTCCCCAAGTGTCTCGAGCAGCAGGCGCAGATTCTGAGCCACGTCCTTCAGCTCCAGCAGCAGGCATCCAGCCACCAGCTGCAAAATCAGCATCCTACGGCTCAGCGGCCGCAGTGAACACCTTTTCTGACTTTCAAAACCTCAAATTTGGACCGCAGTGTATGAAGAATTGTATTTAGATACTGGGTTGCTGTCACATGCCGCTTTGCAGGCTGATCGGTGCCACGAAACTTAACAAAAATCATGCAACACTGTTTATAAGATTATAATTAACTTAATTAATAAATATATTTAAAACAAAAAGTCGCGTATTGCTTAGGTCTTCTAAAAGCGAGGTGCGCCATCATTTTATTTACATTAAAGAGCGCTGAAAAGTATGCAACGTTCTTATGGAAGGAGAAGTTTCGCTAAAACACATCCTTATGTTCATAAAAACGTCTGGATCTTTGATGTACATATGATGTACATACAATCTCGAATTCTTGACTGACTAAAAACTGGAATAGGATGGTAGCTATTTAGAAAAATCACAATCATTTTCACTCTCGCTTTTGCACTTGGAAATATAGTTAGAAATCGAAAGTAAACACTTGCATAAGTTATTTTTATTTTAAAAGCCGTGAAGGCAGACGCCCTTTTAAATGAAAATATTGGACATTTAAGTGTGGAATTAAATTAAGAGCTATACTTGAGAGATTCGACTATAAGATGCTCACTATACGCAGAAGAAAACCAGTAATGCTGTACCTTGATGATACCTTTAAGCTTGTTCACTCCACATATGTAAATATGATAAACATACAGCTTTAAATAAAGCTGAAGGATGTATTCTTGCGTAGAATCACCAGAAAGCGGTATCAGCTAGCTCTAAGAGTTTCAAAGTCTTTACGAGAATTAGAACTGATGAGTGCCGCTTCCACTTGTTAAATGGTTTCATTCGCTATGGTTTTTCTTCCATTGGCCACTAATTTAATATAATCATTTACGCTCAGCAAAGCCACTTCACTCGCTTTTGAGATGCCGAGCACTCCGCACTTATTTCCAACATCAGATTAAGCGTGGCCCTTTCAGCTATGCACTGCGGATTCAGCTTGAGTGCCTGGTTGCTGTTGCTCCAATTAGCTTCAGGTTCTGCTCCCCCAGCGGACGCGAAGTACAGAAGGCGAGTGAAAAGCGCCTGGAAAATAAAGGAGTCATTGTACGGCTTGGGCAGGCGACTATTACCTTTTAATGGCACCTGGAGTACGGGTAAGCCATTCAAAAATAGTGCCGTTGAAGAACTAGCGAATTAAGATATTGAGTTTAAATGCTTCATAAAGGAATCCCTTAGAACGTGCGACATAAAAGCGTGATCTTTGTCGGCAAGTGTATGTTCTTTAGAACCCGACTGGCGCCATCTGGCAACGCCGCGACAGGTGGCTCTCACTCGCTCTGCCGCGCGCGCTGCCGCTGCCACAGTCGACGTCGGCGTCGACGGCGCGTTAATTGCTGTGTGATTGTAATTGATTTCTGATTTCTGCCGCGACTCCGGCTCAGTTGTATTCCAGCCGCCACGCAGAGTGCTGCGTGTTGCGGATTTCGCGGAGTGACAAGTGTGATCAGCGATCTTCATTCAACATGCCAGTTAATCCGCTGCTGATCACGGCCCTTGGCCTTTGCTTCACTGCCATTTGTGCGCGTCCGTCGACGGCGGCGGCGGCCATTGGACGGGTCGAGGGAGCGGAGGGCCAAAAGACGGCGTGGGAACTAACGGAAGCTCTCTATGGCACCTCGGGGCTTCGGGGCTTCAATGGCACCTGGATAACAGGTTCGTTGCTCATCGCTGCCCACCGCTTGCTGCTCCATCGCAGTGCCAACGTTGAGAACCTTGTTTTTTGGGACTGCTATCAGCCAGAGCATCACCCGCGGGGAATTATCATCTTGGGGGAATTAACATCCGGGGAATTCCTACCGTGGGTGCTCCGACTCTTATCAACGAGCTCATTTACGCGTATTACGGCTGGGCCATTCATTTCCCATTTTCATAGTAAAGTACAGAAAACAAGAACACACTTAAACCTTAAGTTACTTAAGGCTTTAAAACGTTGAAATCAAGAAAACTAGCAAAACTTACATTTCAGCTCAAGTTTTGGCTAGCTTATAGGTTTCATCTTATCTCGAATGAATTACGATCATCATTCTGTAGCTCGATAAGACGTTTATTGTGCGTTTCTTATCTGCGACGTTTGGTTAGCCATAATGGCAGTGTCCAGATAATAGAAAAATCTTCGATTTCCTTTCATTTACTTAGAACTTTACGTTTCACCAGGGCTTAGTAATACCAATTTTTGTTGTAATTCGATGATCTTTCCGGTAAGGTTGGAACTCAAAATGGCCTTGTTAGTCCTCAGTTCCTTATAGAGAATGAAACTGGTGCGCTGCCAGATTTCTGCTACTTAACAAACTTCTAGCTGCCTCTTTTCTGGCGCTTTTCCAGATTCAATGACACGCTCTACTTCAAACAGCTGAAATTTGAACTTCTATGAGAAGTTAGTTAGTTGTGTGTTATCTAACCAACCCGTAGGCAATCTAACCCTGCACTCATACTTTTGATTTTTGACAAATGCACTTTCGCAGATGAGGAGTTCTACTACACTGCCCCCGACCGATCCATTCACAAATTCAATGCGGCCACTAAGACGGACGAGATCTTCCAAAACTCTTCATTTCTGGTAATGTACCTAGCATAACACGGAAATGGTTGGGAAGTGCTAACGTGCAGTGTTTTCAGAACAACTATGTGGGTGCCACCTTCTCACTCTCGCCGGACAACACAAAGATCCTCATCCGGCACAACCTCACGGAGAAGTTCCGGCACTCGTATATAGCGCAGTACGATGTGTTCGACATCGAGAGCAGCACGAGCGTCCAAATCCACAAGGGCGAGAAGCTGCAGTACTGCGGATGGTCGCCACTGCGGGATCGCCTGGCCTACGTCTACCTGAACAACGTGTTCATCCACTTCAGCGACAGCTTGGAGATGAGCATCACGGACGACGGCGTGGACGGTGTGGTGTACAACGGAGTGCCCGACTGGGTCTACGAAGAGGAGGTCCTGAGCAGCGGCAGTGCGATCTGGTGGTCACCGGAGGGCAGCAGGCTGGCCGTGGGCTTCTTTAACGACACCGAGGTGGAGACTTTCACCTACTTCCTGTACGGCGACGGCGCCAACACCTACTATCAGTATCCGCACGAGGAGCAGCTCAAGTATCCCAAGTCGGGCTCCAAGAACCCGGTAGTGAACCTGCGCGTCTACGACGTGTCCGAGAATGAGCCCACCATGCACAGCATCATGGCGCCCGTGGAGATCGTCGGAAGCGATCACATTCTGCAGAGCGTCGTCTGGTCGAATGCGACGCACCTGCTCATCACCTGGATGAATCGGCGCCAGAATCTCGCCTCCATTCAGAGCTGCAGCTACCTGGGCGACTGTGCGGAGGTGAGGCGGCTGGAGGAGCCTCTCGGCTGGGTGGACATCAGCACGCCCAAGTGCCTCACCACTGGCAAGAGCTGCATCTTCGGCTACTTCATAGACAACTGGCGCCAGGTGTGGAACCTTGACCTGGAGACGGGCCTCAACAGTTGGCAGTCGCGCGGTAACTTCACAGTTTCGAACGTGTATGGATATGACGAGGCCAGGGACAAACTGTAAGCCACCCCCTAGGTAGTAGCTTATAGATGCGATTCCAATCGAAATACTTCTTCTGCAGTTACTACCAGGCCACTCTGCCCGGAGATCCCTCGGTGTACCATGTGTTCCGCAACGATGAGTGCCTGAGCTGCGATCAAATTGATGCGGACGGCGTGGCATGTCGATCCGCCTCGGCCACGTTCAGCAAGTCCTTCTCCTACTACACGCTCACCTGCACCGGGCCCAATCCGAGCTACACCAGGATCTTCGAGGCCGCCACGAAGACGCTCCAGGTGGACTGGGAGCCGAACACCGCGTACCGCAAGCAAATAGAGCAGAAGCTGCGTCCTAGCTACCGTTTCATGAACGTCACCCTGGCCGATGGAAGTGTTGGCTATGCCAAGCTAGCCCTTCCGCCCAACTTCGTGGAGACGAAGAAGTACCCACTGATCGTGGTTGTGTACCAGGGACCCAACTCGGTGCGAGTGACCAATGGGTTCACCCTGGGCTACGAGGCGTTTGTCACGACCTCGCGGGAGACGATCTATGCGTACATTGATGGCCGAGGAACGGGCAACAAGGGCAAGGACCTGCTCTTCTCGGTTAACAATGATTTGGGCGACCACGAGGTCGAGGATCAACTGTTTGTCACTCGCTGGATGCAGGAAAATCTGGCCTATGTGGATGCCGAGCGTTGCGGCATTTGGGGTTGGAGCTATGGTGGCTATATGACGGCCAAGACGATTGAGAAGGATGACGAGCGGGTCTTTCAGTGCGGAGTTTCGGTGGCTCCAGTTACCTCGTGGCTCTACTACGGTTTGTGGACCCTTTCTCCAATACTTACTAGCGTTTCACCAGCTTCAGTGTCTCATTCCAGATACGATTTACACCGAACGCTATATGGGACTTCCCACTGCGGATGACAACTCGGACAAATACCGGGAGAGCAGCGTGTTCCACAACTTGAAGAACTTCAAGAGCCACGACTTCCTGTTGATTCATGGCTCCGGCGACGACAATGTCCACTACCAGCACTCACTGCTGTTGGCCAAATTGCTGCAGAGAAATGATATTCCGTTCGAGGAACAGGTCCGACAACCGTGCATTCAGTTTCATCCTTGCCTTTCTAAAGCTCTTGCCACATTTTTCAGACTTACACCGATGAAAACCATAGCATCGGCAATGCGCAGCCCCATTTGTACCACACCATCGACGCCTTTTGGGCCAACTGCCTCAACATCGATGTCTACGAAGACTCCGCATAGTGGAGGCAACTGTCGTCAGTCTAGTCAAATACAAGTATTTGAAAATTGTCCCTGTGTACTTTTATATCCCGATTCCCGTAGAAATATCAAGTGTTTGAAATACCAAATGTCAGTCGAGGAAGCCTACAAGCTGCACTTCTTCCTCGGCATTGTTTTTTACGTAATTTAAAAATGTTTTTCCCAAAACAAGTGCGCCACTAATAAAGGCAGTATGGGTAAACTCGTTGATGTGTTACCACTGTAGTTAATAGAATAATTAATGTATTGATAAAGGGTGTACTTTATTTTGAGTGCACCTGGGCGCAAGAAGAGGTATCCATTGTTTATACATCACACCCAGACGACTGCTGCTTTTGTTTGCGTCAGCTGATTAATGCGATTCGGTTTCGGATTCGCCAAGGATCCAAAAACGCTCTTAAGGATATTCATTAATCAGCAATAGGGGCCAACAAAAAATAATGGATTCCCGACTGCAGTTTAAAGCGAAAACAAGCTCTCAAATAATTTCCGAGCATTGAAGCCAAGCCATCCGAGAGCGGAGCATTTGGCATGGGATAAATCCCCATCACAGCCGGCGCTAATCGGGATGTCATTCTGCACTGGTGGTGTTTGCTCCTCGGATTAAGTGCCCAACTAATTGCGTATTGTGGCGATCCGCACGCCCAGTGGAGCTGTCATGAAAACGAGGCAAAGTTTTAAAGTCTCTCGATTGGCCGAGCATGAAATTTCATTTCGCTTCCCAGATTGTTAATTTAGCTATTTGAAATTATACAAAAACACGCAGCATATCTCAATTCCTTAAATACATTCGATGCAGAAAAAGGAACAAAAACCGCACTTGAAGTTAAACACTAATTATGAGCGAAAATGCCAGAAGCCGTTGAGGTTGGTTCGTGAAAATCAATTAATTAACTTGTGCAAAGTTGAATTGCTGCTTCCCAGGACAGCAATAGACTGAATTATGGCCTGCAAGTCCGCAGAGGAAAAACGGCTGAAATTGTTTGCGACAAATGAAAATTTATGACTTAGATTTTAGAGCAAGGCTCAGTATATGACTATGTCTGCAAAGTGACTTGTGGCAAACAATTAAATCCATTTTGGCTGGCTCAACTTTGACTTCTGAGTATTGATTTATGGACGTAGGCCACCATTAAGGATTAATTAAAACAAATAAGACAGGGAATTGCACTTTGAACTAAATATTTCGGTATGGCTAATTGGCAGGGTAATCGGTATATAAATGCAAATTCGAAGGTCGGACGTGTATTTAACGTAGCATACTTTTTTGGGCAAATAAAGGGCAAGTCTCCTTTTGCCTCGTATTGGAGTTTAGAAGTGACCCAAGAGAGATATTTGCACAACTTTGAAGCACTTTACTTTAGCATTAAAAGAACGGTATAATTTATTTACTTTCATTTCTTTCCAGGCTTCGCCCAGCGCTAAGCCCCATGTGACAAACTAAGTTAATGAAATAGAGGCTATGAAAGACTGGGCCGCAAAAAAGTCGAGCGGCGGGCGAGAGTTTTCACACGGCCAGCGGCGTACTATAATATACGAGTATAGTGGCAGTGTACATATGTGTTTTTGCGAGACTCGGTTTATTTTAGTGGGGCGGCTCGACATTCTGCTGAACTGGGCGGCCTCCCGGGTGCCTTTTGTTTGATGGCGTCAAGGCGGAAACGTGCCCACGAGTATGCAGGGATAAACTAAATATACGCTGTAAATTTATTGTGCGGAAAATATTCCTGCGTTTCGCATTCAGGACGCTGTATGAATGTCTCGGCGTTGCACGACTCACACAAAAAAAAAAAAATACTTGTTGACCTTTATGACTTTACCATACAAAGTGATTTTCTCGCATTTCATGGCTGAAGTCTGAAAATTAAATTTAATTACGGAAAGTGGTGTGGGTAACCCCAAGCCTCGCAACCTAAAAATATGTTATTCAATTACTTTGGCTGTGAGAATTTAGTTTTACTCAAACTGAGCTCTTTTGTAAATTTGAGTCCCTTGCAGATTGCACGTGTATATATTTTTAAGTATATTCTTAGCATAAAATGCAGACGGGAATTTTTTCGGAGCCCTGATAGCTTTAAACCCACTTTACTCAATAGCTCAGCAATCTTGCCAATCTTGATTTTTAATTTTGCAGTTGACGGTGAATTTGCGGTGCTCAGTGACTTCCGGCTTCGGCGAAGCCCATGAACTCTTGCTTGTGGTCACTGGGGAAAGTTAGGGGATTTTCATTTATAAATATCCTGTTATATGGACTTCCGCAATGTGTTTTTCGCAGCCACAAGCAAACAAGTCGGTTGAGCTGAACTTTCCCTTCAACACATTAAAAAACATAGGGCCAATAAAATCAGTTTTCTGTTATAAAACGGATGACCGTTGGCCATATAGGGAAAGCAATAAATCACTGGGGTTATGGACACAGCACAGAATGTTATGCCTCCTCAGTGGTTCCAATGGACGCCGAGTGTAGATTGTCTTCTATTCATGTAAGCGAGATTTCTTTAACATCTAGCTTAATCTAGTTTGTGAAGCCTTTTTTGTTCCGCTTTAAAGTAACCTTAGCAGAACCAATCATCATTAGCTCTCCAAGTGTACTTAAGGGTTTGCTTTCGTGTATATGGCTTTATATAGTTTTAAATATGCACATCTTTGAATTGGCCTTAATCTGCTTCTGGCTTGCTTTTGCTGAGAGTTGTGAAAAATTCTGCGCAAGAAACTTTAAGCCTGTTTGTGGTTTCGATGGCCACTGCTATGCGGAAGCCGTAAATGCCTGTCACATGAGAAATCTAAATTGCCAAAGAGTTGCTAGTAACAAACCAGGTAAATTAAATACGCTGCTTTGGTTTTCTAAAACATAACCAATTTGTGCATTTTAGTTTTCGAAGTTAAAAGAGAAAAAGCGTGTCTAAAATATCTTACAATTTGTAAAATCTTACCCGAAGATTGAATATAACCCTATTTTACGTGCGGTAGAATTTCGAATTGGGGGTGCTATGAAATCGAAAGTATTTCTAAACAATTAAATCGAAATTTTATTTCAACGCTCGTTTTGGAAGTTTTATTAGCATGTTTGCATTATTGGATATTAGCCTGCTTTTTGTTGAATCACAGCAACTCTTTGGAAATTGATAGAAATCTGGCATACAAATTGAAGATATATAAATACCATATAGGTGGGATATGTAGTTGTCATCCTGCCGTAGTCCTTAATCTTTTTTAAGCTGGACAATATTGAAGCTGGCTGTGTTCTAGTTCAGCCTTTTTCGCACTTAAATTTGCAATCCGGACCTATACCAATTGGCATCGATACCGAAAAGAGCTAATCCTTTACCCAAAAGTTCCATGTCAAAGGTATAAAGGACACCAGGTCCCAGGGCGAGTGACCAGTTCCGATGATTTTTTGCTTGCCCATTTTGTGTAGAATGTATTTCTAGGCTCTGCAGAGCAATCAATTTTATGGCCCTGTTGGATTGAGACCCAGTGGGAATTGAAGCTTTTTACGAACCACAAATAAATGCTCAGTCAGAATTTTTAAAAAATGCAACAATTTGCGGCGTATGGAATGGGCCAAATGATGCACATGAAAAACCGAAATTGAGGAAGCTTTTATTTTATGGTCTTTTGTGTACTTTTCGAATTCCATGTACATCCACATATATGACGGTGTACACAATATATTTATGTATGCGAATTCCATCTGTATATCTGAATGACTGCAAAATGGCACGACAGAATGTTCATGTGATTGCAAAGTGTTATTTTATTAATTAATGGACAACCACTTCGCTCATAGAAAGAGCTACATTGAATGCAGTTTTATTGCTAGAAAATAGGGTATGGGGCTTAACATTTAAAAAAAAAAAGTTAAAATGTTATAGTCGAGTTCGCCGACTATCAGATACCTGTTACTCAGCTAGTGGAAGTGAAAACGAGACTTCAACATTTTCTGGAATATCGGTAGAAATTGAGAAACAGACGGACATGTATATATATAATATATTATATATATATTATAATACTATAATAATATATATATTATATACTTTATATATATATATACTTTATATAGTCGGAAGCGCTTCCTTCTGCCTGTTACATACTTTTAAACGAATCTAGTATACCCTTTTACTCTACGAGCAACGGGTATAAAAACAACCACAAAAATGTTTGAAGGCGACGAAATAAATAAGTTTGAACTTAGTCCCCCAACAAAAGTTTTTGGATGTCTGGCTTGAAGTCGCCTAACTTTAAAATTTATTGTTGACTTTCAGTTCAATGTAACTGATTAATTCCCTTAGGAGGCCAGGAAAAAACTTCTCACTGAGAAGTGATGACTAGTGCGAAATATAAATTTTTTGCCACCACCACGTTATATATTTCCAAGTGGACAAGAGCAAGAGAAATTGACTAGTCTTTTATTGAAATGTATTTCAATCAAACTAAAGGCAAAACATTTCCATAATTCCAATCATATAAACCACAAAAGGAAGGCTATGCGAACATGAAATTCATGGCTCAACTGCTGGAAACTGGAAAATGCGGAAAAATGCATGGCCCAAATGCTGTTAAAGTGAGCAATAAAACCTAGACTCATCCGAAGTGGCTGACTGGCTGGCCAGGACCCAAAACAAACCCGGAATGGGAAGCGACCTGACCCGGCTTCACTTTTGTGTCAACGGTGCCATGGAAAGCCGCCTTGCCTCGGTTTCCCGCTGGCCTGCATTGCCGGGATTTCATGAGCCATATGGCCTGTGGGCTGCAGCTTATTTGGATCGCCTCATTGCCGGCGTTTCGCTTGGCATTTTGCTCACGAAATTCAATAAAGAACTTTTGACACATTTTCTTTCTCTCAATTCTATGCATTTTGACCTTTAGGGCCTTGCAGTTTGCGAGCTTGATTACCTTAAGTTTTTATCTCATAGATGATTTCCGAAAACAAGTGATTACTTGTATCTATTTGTTATAAACACAACATCTTAATGCAGCATAAAATGTAAAGCTAAAGTTTAGCAGTAGCACTTGCTTGGTTGTTTGCCAATATTTTGTTTTAGAACGTGTCTAAACTTCGCAATTCTTTAGAGTTCCATTTAGAATTCCATTATTCTCGAAAAGTTCTAGTCAAAAATTCAGGCACGTGAACTGCTTGCGCAACGCCCAAGCGGAATGTATGTAATTAAATAATGCATGCCCGAATTAGATACCTGCTAAGAAAAACTCAAATAGAAATAAGCAGCAAATGTTGACTTTAAGCTTTGTAAAAGGGGAAAATTCACGCTCATGCGGGAAAAGAACTCGGGTCTTAATCAACAACAAGCGAAATACGCCGACAAGTTGTGGGAATTTCAAATGGCTGAAAAGGGCCGAAAAATGCCAACGCCGGAACAGAAATGCGACATAAACCTACTTTGCATATGAAGATGAATATGCCCGGCGATTTGAGTTATGTGTTGCGCGTTACGCATACGCCATGTTTTCAGAGAGATTGCTACAAAGTGGAGGAGTGCTTAGCATCGTGCTTCATCGACCCGCTTGCCCCCGTTCTTAAAGTGATAAATCCAAATGGAAACGGTTTTCAGCTTTAAGCCTCGATTGCATCGGAAATTCCGCGGCTCCACACGGCGCATGCTTAATTTTAGCCACCTCCCCAAGTTTTTTTTATTATTGGCAAGGGCTCAAACATCAAAGCTCATGAGCGGCATAGAAACTTCTACAGCACCCGCCATAACCATGCGGAATAAAGTATGTTTATTGATTTAACTTAAAGCACATCCGACCAAACATACTTGTTTCGCTGCATGAATAAAAAGGCATACAAGTGGTTAATAAAAACATCTTCAAAGTGTATTTCTGTGTGCCGCACGCCCCGGGGCCTTCTATTTCTGTGGATGCCACTGGGAGTGGGTACTATAACTTACATATGTAATAATAAAGAGCACAAGACAAATTATTTTGTTTCATCCGCAGCTTACCGCAGCACCCATAAATCCTTTTACTTGCCCGTCGTATCCTTTTCGATTCCTCGCTCGCATTTTCTTTTCCCACTCCTGCTCCTCGACATGTTAAATCGCATAGGCACTGCTAGGCGAGCACTTCGCTATTCACAGGTGGGTAGGAGGAAAATGCAGTGGATCGCAATTGTTTCAACCTCTCTCGATGCCTGTCTCGTCAACTATGCATCGCTAGAGTTTTTCATCTCGACGTGGGGTGCAACAGTGGCCAACAAAATATTTGAACGACGCGGGCAGGAAATAGCCCCATACTGAAAGTTATTTTAGCTACACTTATTTTGTGATTATTTGGCGTGTCATTTATTAACGTTTTTCCATACTCATTCTGTGGTCAATTAGATAATAATATTATGAAAAAAGGTTTTAAAGCCAAATGGTTGGACATGTTTTCAGTAAATAAACGAGGAAAAAGTGTGTTGTTTAAGAAAAACATTAAATAATCATTATTCGTGTGGGTAAGAATTTTCATGGAACTGCCAATAAATGTAAACAAATGTGGTAGCTCAGTGTTATTAAAGCCCGCCGGGCGCAAAAACGTCGGTTTACCAGCACAAAGTGAAGGAATAATAAAGTGCATATCCATTTTTCGGGCTAACCGAATTAAAGTTGCCCAGATTGTAAAGCGTTTCGCCAATAGTTCTGTTTTTAAATTAAGCTGTCAGAACGGCAATCACTTCCCAATTCTCGACAGCAGTGGTGCAATAATGAAAACAAAATGAATGCAATTATGTGCCAGATGCGCCCGTTGTCCTGGTGTCCTGTTGTCCTGGTGTCCTGGTGTCCTGTTGTCCTCGTATCCCCGTGTCCTGGTTCTTGTTGTTGTCAGTGACGTGCCTATGTCAGCGTAGCCATAATTAAAAAAAAACCTAAGGGATAAGGAGCAGGTCACACGGAATCCACAACGGATTTGCAGCTTTCACTCCGACATTATATGTTTTACCCTTTACACCTCAGACTTAACATCACGAGTTGCAGTTTTAAAAAGTTAAATTCCAGTGTGATATAAAACGGAGTAATTAATGCTGAGTTTAAACGAAAACTGTAACTCTTTATATACTTATAAAAACATGTTAGGTATCCCATTAATTTGTTATATCTTCGAGGCGGCTAAATAGTTATCCTCGCAGCAGTTTTACATCCTGAATAGATCTGGGCCAAGACAGACAATTATAGAGGTCTTAAGGCTCTTAACTATTCAGTAAATACATTTCCTTGAATTGTTTAACTACCCGTTTGCAGTGTGCAGGCCTTCTGCCAGCCTTTCAGCCATCAGTTCGCTGGATCTGAATCTATTTAGCACCAAAATGTATTGTGCAAACCCTTGTGTTTGCAAATGGCTTAAGCCCCAGAACTCAATCAAAAAGTTCAATTGCTCGAAAATGGGGCTTCACTTATCGGCATTTCGCATGTTCAATTGGAAGGCTTGTTTGGAAAAGGCAGAGCTGCCCAGCCAGTTACCTCATAAAGCGACATTCTGCAGTTTGACTCATAAATACGAAGAATAATGCAGAATGTTGTCTACTTTTGGGCGCTTGGCCCGACTTTCGTGACGTGTAAGCGGATTGCCAAACTTGCGAGCTCGCCGAGCTGCCAAACTGCAATTTTCCAAGCGAACAGGCCAGTCCGTCTGCCAGCACTGGGCCAATTGGAAACCTTCGTGACGCAAACCGCCCATTAAATGCACATCAAGTCAAAGTCAGGGCGGAAATCCTTTTTGCCAGTTTGATTTATCGAAGCCTGCTGCCGGGCGTTCGGTCTTACGAGGCGCACAATTGGGCCATCATTCTGCTGGTCCCATGCAATTTGTCCAACTTTGAAGCACTGCCACAACAAGGGTTTAATGAGCTGTGCAAGTCGAGGACCTGCTAAGTAGCAATTATGCATTTACCCCAGCCCAAAAATTGCCATTTTGGGACTTTCAGACTTTCAGACTTCCGGCCACGAAGATCATACAGGTACAAAGAGAAGTTGAGACTTTCAACACGATTTAGTGCTTCAAAATGCACAAATATGAAGTACACATTTGTTTGCCTGCCAAGTGCTTTTGATATCTCCTTAACACGGCCCATCGATTGGCAATCAAAAGGGTCGGGAAAAGTGTATCCTAAAACACCTCTGCTACCTCAAACACTTGAAGGATGAAAAACCGGACTAAGAGTTGAGTAAACTGCCCGTTTTTCTATGACCCGAAACAGCTATAAAAATGTTTCCTTGCCTTGAATAAAAATCCCGGACAGCAGGACGTGCTCAAGAACATTTCTGTTTATGTGGGCAGGTGGCAGCAACATGCAAAATAGCCGCTCCACTCTCGAAAAAGCAGCCCAGACAAAATTTGTTAAGTACTCAACTTGTTTATACCCTGTGCGTGGCTGGGCATGCACACATTTCAGCGAGTTTAGTAACTAGAATTATTGGTAAGCTTATACACAATAATGAAACTAGCTACAGTCAGTTTGGTAGCTATAAGATATTTCTTGATTATAAAATATTCAATAGTTGCTAAAGTCTTTAATTTTAAAGCCTTGCTATGATTTCCTATAGGGTATGCTTAAGCGGCGGAAAATGGGTGTGTAGAGCATTCCACTGGCGACTTCAGGATTCCGATACCTGACTGATTTCCATTGTTGCTTCCGCCGAGATGGCGCAGTTTGTGGTATTTGCGGTTTTGCTATCTGAGGTGTTCTTCAGCCGAGCACGTCTGCTGCTCTTTGAGGCAACCAGAATGCGAGCGAGTTGCTCGGTGAGTTGGAGCCGGGACTAATGCACCCGGAGCAGCCGGGAGGCAGTGCAGCATTTGGGCACTGGTGGTGTACGGTTAAATGTGGCCAGGAAGCGACTGAGAGGCTTAGCTGCAAATGCCAAAAGTTCACCATTTCCTAAGACAAGTTGCATGGAGAACATTTCGGGCTTAGGTTTTGAAGAGGATAATTAGCGACATGCCTCCCAAGCTGAAGAACGCGGTTCGCTGCACAAATGGCCCTTAGCCCCTTAGCCCCTTAGCTGCACGTCGGGCACCAATGAGTGCACTTGCTGTAACCTATTGCCATTCCACCCGATTCAGCTCCTCCAAATGCTCCCCCAATCCCCCAGCCAGGCAGCGTGACAATGCCGGGCGGGATGTCAACGCGGCCTGCAATAAAGTTCCCCATTTTACTGACACTGCACATTCACCATAAGATGGCTGCACCCATCCCCAGAAATATGGCGAAATGCAACCGCGAACCTCTTTTTCTTAGCAAGCAGGCAGCGGGTTTATTGAAATTTTATGCATTTCCCGCATTATATGAGGCCACATTTGTTGTCTGATGCCACCGAAAAGTTTCATTTTCGATACTGCCTGTGAGTTTGTCGCTCGACAGCTGCCTTGAGTTTCCCCACAGCTCCAACCGCCCATCTCGCATGTTTTCGCATCCTTTATTCAGCATTTTAGGCAGCATTTCGGGGGATTTCCGCCATCAGCGTACATGTATTGGTTAGCTCCGCTTAAATGCGATTAAATCGCTGCAATTACAAGTACTTATCGATTTAACTGGAATACAAGCTATTGCGTACAGCAGCCCAACTTCAACTTCATTGTTCATCTTGCAAATACATAAATGAAAGGAAAGTGGTGGTGCATATGTTAACATGTATTTTATATATAGTGTGTAAACTAGTTCCATGTAAATTTTGATTTCCATTTGGCAGGTGTATCGTCAAGAGTTCACTGGGTTAATTTGAACAGTTGATGTCAAGAGTTAAAAGGGTGCATTCTGCTTCAAAGTTGTTTAGTTTAAAGTGAGTGATGAATGTCCCCCTATTGTAGTGTTATATTTTGACTTCTTGATCTACTTCTTTTTCTTGTCCTTGTCATCCTTTTTGGGACCACTGCCCGGCGGACAGGACGCCAGGTAGCCTCCACTCATCATGCGATCGAACGCATCCATCGGATCGTATCTGGAGTAAAAGTTCCTGTACTTCCTCCTGCGCGGATTGTTCTGTAAAGTGTACAAAATAAGCGGAGCAATCAGGGACAAAGTGCAGGCCACTTTGAGGTTGCGAAGCGTTTGCTTCAAGTGCAAGTCGTGCATGGGGAACTTGAACTCGGGGGGCTGTATTTAAAACAAAAGATATACATTTAATTTACTCTGATAATTGATAATCTACAAATATTTTCTTACCTTTTGGGCTGGCATTTTTCTTATTCTCTGTTCTCTGCTTATGTCCGGAAGGGAAATGAATGTAAAATGTACTTCAACTTCAACTACAAATGCTTAGCCTACGCTTTTTTATAACAATTTCAGACTTACTGATGTTCGCTCATGCTTATTAATGCTATGACGATTTTAGCACAATTTCCTTAAGAATCAAACCATTCTTAAAGATATTAAACAATCTTTTGTTTTAGTGGTAGCACTATCAGCTTAAACATAAAAGAACAGCAGCTTTGTGGACCATTTCAACAAGCTCTTTAAGATCCAGATGTTTAAGGATTTGATGCCATATATATTTTCCTTTTTCCTTTTTTCTTGATGCGCAGCCTCAAAGTTTCGTTTAAGGCCAATAGGAATAGGTGCTGGCCCACAGATTTGTGGCTTTGTTGATTTATTTCCCTTTGTCAGGATAATGCCAACCCTTTCCCTGCTCAGGAGTTGTTTACCAAACCAATGCAGATAATTATGTACGAGGTCTGCAACAGGACATTGTGTAAATAGTTGTTCAAGATGTCGCCATTTGCTGATGCAGCCATTGAAGAGGTTCATCCTCCAACGATATCCACATTTACCCTTTGAGCATTGGCAAATTGAGCTCGAGCCAGCAGCAAATATTTGTTTATTTAAGCTTGGTTAGGCAATTCCGAAGCGACTAAGTTTATCAGACGATTGTGCACCCTGTAGTGCATAAAATTTTAATTCTTTTTTCCTTAGTACTACCAGATTATTTATGTTTTCCCTTTCAGAGTTCATCTGTTGGCCAGATGCACTCTACTTCATTTTATTCTAGCCAAAATTTTTCTCGTATTTAATGCCTGGGAAAAACTGCGCAGGGAATTCGAAATTTGCATTTGGCAATTAAATTACTAACAAACCGCTTGGAAAAGCGCACCAGGAGAGTTCACTTTTTCCGACATTCTGACCGTTCAACTTTGACCAGACGGCAAACATTTTTAAGTCTGTGCATTGAACCGTCTTGCAAAAAGACAATTTCAATATGTTTGGCGCCTTAAGGCGTTGACGGCATTTATAAACATAAGCCCGTACCTCCATTCCTTATTCAGCCTTCTATTTCCACAGCCATTCAGATACAACATATTCGAGGGCGTCTTCGATATGTCCAGTGACCATATATCTCTCGGCTGCTGAATCCGCAATCTGAAGTCGATAGACTTTTAAGTGTGCTTGGCGCTAAGTAGTGGTAATGAAATTTAAGTAGAATTTTGAACTTATAATGGCTCTTAGCTGGTGGACTTACCATCATCGGCTGTCCAACTGTTGCAAACAAAAATGTTCGATTCCGTGCAATTTATTTTATCGCCACCGCAAAGCCATTTAAAAGTTTCAAACAACCAGCAAACGTTTGATTGAATCCTTAAATTGGTTACATTTGAAAGGGATTTTTAAATATTTTTGCATGCATCAGCTAGTTTAATCCTTTTATGCTAACTTGCAAATATGTTGCGCGTCGTGTTACAAAAATATACATTTTTTCGTACTTCAGGCGCTTAGTTAGATACATGCCTCTTTAGTTTATTAGGTTTTACCAACACTACTCTTGGCACTTTTTGATTGATATAAACACGAGAATCGCATGCACGAGTATAGCTCAGTGAACTTTGTCCCCTATGCGGGCAGCTAGGATGGGGGCCAATGAACCCCAATACCTTCCACTTTTGACGTGGTCGTGTCATTATTATCTATTAGTTATGGCCACGCCCCGCCCCGCCCCGCCCTTGGCCCGACGAGCACCGTCTTCAGCCCAACCACTTCAAGCTAATTGTAAGTTATTGACACGAAACGTGCCCCCGGCCACTGCCAATAACGGTGACGAAGGGGTGGCATCAACGCCCACCTGTAGCCGAGGAACTGCCACCGTTTGCGGTAATTATAACTTTCTCTGGCCTTTGAGACGCAGCTCGTCCTTTGCTGCTCCGGGTGAATCATCAAACTAATTGAATTATAAATGCTGCGGCAAATGTAAATAGTGTACTTCATTTAATATAAATTCTGAAAAGTTTGTTGTTTGTACCTGCAGTATTGTATTCTAAGCCAATTGAAGTAGACATACAATGCAGAGGCAAACGGGTAAGCAAATATCAGATTAAAACCATGTAGATGCCCTATCCATAAATGTATTCTAAACCCTAAAATGCTTACACAAACTGTGCGCTGGAAACAATATTAAAATCCGATCGTAAACATTGTATTAGCTTACATTTCTCCGGCTCTAAACAAATTTAGTTATTCATGGGGCTGGCGTGTTTTCTGTTTTGTGTCCAGTTGAACACCAAATTCCATGTGGTTCAAGCGCCAATTAAACTGCCATGCAACGTTTGCGACTGACACGAAAGCTCCATATTTGCCCCTACAAACTGAATAAATGTAAATGGCTTAAATAGCCTTTAATGCAGCGATAGCTTGCATTAATATGCCCCAATTTCTGTGGGGCCTGGCATGAACATCTAAAAGCCCGAGAATATTGAAAGTATAGTAGGTACACCAGAAGAAGCAAATCAGCATAAACATTGCCAACCCAGAATTATAACCTCTTTTCGAGCATACCCTTTGCTCCAGATTCAGACGCGAAAATGCCTCATGTGGAGCGCGTGGAACAAAGGAACTATAAAGTCCATATATGGCCAACTTGGCGCTGTGTTCGTGTTATCTATCTCAATGAGAGCGGTGTTCGCTTGAGCTTTATGGGCCTTTGCCGGCATCGCCGTTCGCAAAGGGTTCATTAGTCCTTCAGCTACAACATCAAAGCCAATGAACGTATAAAATGCAGGCAAGGTGGATGCGGAAAAATGGAATGGGGCTGGCAGGCGGCTGCAGTTGGGGCTAAAATGGCACAAGCGCAAACAGCAAACAGCAAAATGCCAAACAAAAGCCAAGGAGCCAAAAGCGATGCCAGAATGAAAGCAAACGCGACACACGACATTGGAACAAATTGCGTTGGCACTGCGGCGCAAAGTATGCAAAGCGAAAGGACGTCGCCTGGGTCAATATCCATCCATCCATTCATCCAAAGGACCTGCTGCTCTGGCGGAAACCTGGCCGACTAGAACTGGGAACTTGCAACTGGCATCAAATCGATTGTATAATTGTCGATGCCAGTGGATATTTAGGTTTCCACCGATTTCCCTCCATTAGGCCAGCTCTCGCCACGTTTTCGTCCTTCAAGGACGTGTTTGACTTGCCCACGCACGCCATGCGCAAAGTGCTGTCCGACATTCGGATCGCGTTTTTCTTTTTATGCCGCTCTGGGACGTCATTATTCATTAGAGGTTGGCCAACTCCCCAAAGTTGGATTTCGCCATCAACCAGGTTCACGGCTTTTCCGCCTGCGGCTAGTTTTAATTAGTGGCCGGATGATAAGTAACCGCCTGTTTCCCGTTAACAACATTTTCCCAACGCTTTCACTGAATAACTTTATTACCAACAAAATGCTATGTAATAGGCATTATGTTACTCATGTCTAATTACCGAGTTCAGTATGAAAACGCTCTTGTATTGCGACACTTCAGTTCAGTCAGTCATTCGCAATGCAATATCCATTTTTCAGAATGAGGTAGATATGGCTTATTGATTTACTGAACAACAATGCAAAATGTCGGGTATTTTGAATGCGTTTGTACATATGTATTGTAGCTTTATATTTATTCCTTGGCTGTGCAATAAGGGGCTTTGTTAGTTGACAATAATTTATTGTGATTTTATTGCCAGCTTCTAGTTTTTCCCTTGTGGCTTACTTTACTCCTTTTAGTGTAAGCTTTGAATACAATATATACTTTAAAATAGTTCCACTATCCATGGATTCCATACTGCTTATAATCACTTGTTTGCCCACAGGAGTAACTGAAAGTGGGATTCATACTACATTAAATAACAGCCAACTAGCTTCAAGTCGAATAGGGAATAGTACTTAAGTGACTTCCTATAGATAAGCATACTTCCTCTAGTTGAGTATATGGCCTTATGCTAGTGTATATGAATGGCCACTACTTAGATTGTAAAATTAATTGCCTCCTATGAGCCACTGTTTAATCTGCTTAGCTTCTCCAGCGAATTTGGCCAACCGCATTGATGATATGTATATGTTTGCCTACTGCTGAGCCAAAATCAATTAATTTCAATGGAATTGTGACGGGATAGGGGGGCCAAGTGTTTGTTGGACTCTTTGCCGAGTTGGAGACAATTGATTCAAATTGCTATGCCATACATCATGCTGCGACTCAAATTAAATTTACATTCAAAGTCGTTGGGCACTTTTAATCTCCCATTTCCCCACTCCATTTTGAGCGATTCTTTGGCAAGCTCTAAGCTCAAAGTACACATACTTAATTTATTTGCGAAAAGCTCGCCGACCACAATCAATTCTTTCAGTTTCCAAGTACTGACCGCACCCATGTGCTACCACCGACTTATGACTACTTTTCCACTTGAACTTGGCGAAGGTTTCGCCTTGCCAACAACGGAAATGCTCAAAGCCTGAAGGGGAGATTCGCGGCCCAGTGGAAAATGTTGAAAAATCAAATTGCATTGGAATTTGTGCGTCCTTTGGTGAGAGTGCATCCAGCCAAATAACATATTTTCGAACCAGCTTTGCGGCTTACACTCTGGCAAAGACTAGCTAATTCCGAGGAAACCAAACTTTAAAGATTCCGACTTGGCAGCTCAACGAAACGTCCTCAGAAGCAGGGAGTTCGCCACCAGATACGCCTTCTAAGATTGATTTTTGTTGGGAAAACTGTAATGCACGCAAAGCTTTTCAAACAGCAACCACTCTCGCAGTTTTCCGCAACACACAAGGTGCAAGTTTTCCCGCCTTGTTAAATTTGTATGCTATTTGGGATTCAGCAGGGGCACGTGCATAATGCTTATCCGTTCGAGGAATCCGCGGAAGAGGTAAAAACTTCGACATTTCTGAACAATTTGTCGTAGTCTGATAGCAACGATTAAGTATGACAAATATGTGGGTTTTATGCGCTACAAATTACCAGTGCTGTACGATTTCTTAAATTAAATGTAATAAAAATCTAATTGCGTTTCGCAGCACTTGTTGTCAAGATCCTCATTGCTGAAAATGCGCCATAATTTGGTTTTTGTGGAGGCGAATGAATGAATGCTATTTATAAGAGCATGTAACCAGAATATGCTTCCCTAAAATTAGAATTTTTGCAAAGTTCCTACTCGTGCTGAATGATTAGTTCACTTTGAGTGAAGCCACTGCAGACTGGCAATCAAATGAAATTCGAAACCAAAGACCACACAAATATGGTCTTCCCAATGCAGAGCGCCTGCGCGGTGAGAAAAGTTGCCGACTGGCAGCCAAAAACAGCCGGCAAAATGCGCGCCAATGTCGGGAAAACAGGAAAACTGCAAGAGCGACCACAACGACAACAACTTGCCACTAGTTCAAGTTCAATGCAACAACAACAGCCAGCAGCACGTGACGCACAAGTGGAAATGCAAGGGCCTGCCGCAACAACACAGCAGGACAGAGCATCGTGGCTAACAGCTCTGTTAACTTGGCCAGCAGCAGGCGCTGTCGACTGGCGCCGCTTCGGACGCCTTTCGTTTTGGCCCGCTTCTGGGGAACGAGTCGTCAGAATGTCGCGGCATCTCAAACGAATCGGACGCGAAAGGCCAAAATCGAGCGGGAATTCGGGCCCAGAACTCCGAGTGTTATTTGAATAATATTTCACTCGTTTTCGTACTGAAAGTAGCGGACTATCCGCTCGTGATTGTGTAAGTTCGCCGAATGCGCGGATTCGACAGGAGCGCGATTTCTGAAATATTTATGATACTGTCAATGCGAGTTAATAAATTGTGAAAAGCTGCGGCGAGTTTTCGAAAGATTGAGGATCTCAAAAGTGAAATGTTTCCAGTCGTTGAACAGTTTATTTCGTCCGACGGACTACACGAAAATCGTATTGTTACGGAAATATACCGGGAATATAAAAAAATATAAAATAAACCTAAAAAACGCTTAAAATTAAAGCCATAATGCTCCGTTATATTCGAAAAAATTACCTTTTCATGTCTTTGAAAATGTATAAATGTGAAAGTAAACTTATTTGATATCAACTTGGCTTCTTATGAAAACTTTTTCACTCCCAGCTTTGCTATCTATCTATTCCTATGAAATAAATCATATCAATTTTTCTTGCCCGAAACTTATTTCAAAATTGTGTTATTTAAGCTAAATAATTGTTTACCATTTATTGATTTTACTCGCTCTTAAATGGGAAAAGGTTTATGGAAATCGGTTTTGCTCCAATTATACAGAATTTTAAACAATCAGTAAATGCACTTGCAAATTGAAAAACTAAAATGAGCCTTTGCTTAAATGCCTTTTTACACATTCGAATTATTACAATGGAAGCATGAAGCTTTTTGCAAAAATTATATCTACTGAAAATGTTTGAATTATTTTTAGAAGTGAACCACATTCGCCGAGCTAATTGGAAATAATAAAATAATTTTGGGCACTAAACGATTGTGAAAACCCGAAGGTCATTGTTACAACATGCTGGATTCGCGAATGAGTAAATAGCAATTTTTGTTAATTCCAGCGCTCCACTAAATAAGTGAAGCATCAACGGAAAAAACAATATTTTCAAACGCTATAAGCATTTTGTTCGTAAAATATCTGTGAGCGAGCCAAATGAAATGTAACCTAGAAGTAGCGGCACATCGGAGTGATTGAATTTGTGATTTTCGGTTAAAACCTGGCCCAAGGATTCTTAAGGACGAATTCAAGCGAAGGTGGACGAGTTCCCATATCCAAATCTGGCAGACACTTTACCAGAAAGAACTTAGACACTAAGTAATACTTAGCAATACCAAGAAGGATTTACGTTCCGATATACTACTGCAGGTAAGAATTTCAATTAATAAGTAATACTGGTAATGCATATGGATTATCCGACAATTATACCGCCACAATGGGAAGATTGCCGCATAATCATCTGAAATCCGGCTTTCCGCACGTGGAAGACAAAAATTGAGTGTTTTTCCGCAATCCTGAAGAGAACAAACAAAAGTGATGGCAGAATGTCGCAGGTGTGCCTTAGCCCATTTCATTCGGATTGCGCCTTTATTTTCTGGTTTATTTGTGATTTTGATTTGCCTGTGCGTGTCTCGATTAACAAATGGCTGATTTGTATTTGCACAGGTCCTTGCCTACTTTTTTCCCATCAGACAGACGGCGGTTCATTAAGATACCTTTTGATAAATGTGTTGCCACGAACCTTGTGATTACACATATGTACATGTTATCCTCCACTCACATCGTTTTCCCTACTGGGAAAAATTAAGTATGTCCGCAATGAAGTTCGCTGGGATTCGTAAATTGTTGACTTATATGGTTTTATGGCTTTCCGCAGAGCCAAGCTTGAGTTGAAACATAAAAACTTTATTCTAGTCCGATGAGATAGTTTAAAGCCATAAGCTTGCTTTACAGCCAGAAACAAACTACATTTTTCTGTTTAATTTTATTACGGTCACAAAGAGATTAAAGTTTTGCTTTAGATATATTTTCTAGCCGCAAAGCACAAATAACAAAGCGAATAAAAATCTGGGATTAAATCAGGATTTGATATAGTTTTTATAATAATGTTCAATAGTAGTTTGCAACACAGCTTATGAATCACACGCACTTAATTAACACTCACTTTCAGCTTAACGCTTACTGCTTTAGTGTGTGATAATGCAAAAACAAAGCGCTCAGAGAAATTGATTTATTTTGCACTTAGAAATCGAAATTCAAGACTCCAATCACACTTCGCCATCAGATTTGGGCATCATGGAAATCGCCTGCAGCCACCGACAAGTGGCAAAAACTAAATGAAGCGCAAATGACAAACATTGCCAGCTGAACTATGAAGGTGTGAGATTGCCTCTTTTGCGCTGCGGGTCCTTCGTCCTGGCACTTGCTGTCGACGACAGGATGCTCGAAATTCAAATACCCACAGCAGCACCGAATTAATTTGGGTCTGCGCCATCCAAACGTTTATTGAAATTTCGGCAAATAAATTTAATTGTTTTGGATAAATTTATGGCAGTATAATCAGTTAATTTGTTCCGGCTGCATAGTAGTCAAAAGCTTTTAGCGCTGCACTTGTTTTGCGATTTTTCAAAACCATTCAAAACTAATTAAAAACAGTCGGCTACAAAACTGCGCATTTTAATGCATTCCACTTAAAAGAGCAAGTACTTGTTTGCAACTCGAAAAAGGCGTGCCATATGAAATGTATTGTGAGTTTAAGTGAAATATGTATACACAGTATACTTAAACTGCTCCCAAGTACATACACTATATCAGTTTTAAATTAATGAACCCTGGCTGATTAATTATATAGCGAAAGGCATGGAATAAAAGGTGGAAAGGCTTCTGAAAGGTGGAATTTTATAAATATTTTCCAAGTCACATTTTCTTGAGCCTTGTGACAACTTGCTTTGATTTCAAAACACATTCCATCTACTTTAAGCTCTATTTTATAGCGCAATTTTGAAAAATAAAGCTTAGGCAGCGAACGTGAAGGTAATCTGACAAATTTATGCCTCGCTGCTTACGACTTTCGTTCATATGTTGTACATATGAGTTTCCTTGCCTCAGTTGGCGGTAACAAACTTTGGTTACGAGCCTGAATTTTACCCCTTCCTTCAACGAGCAAACCTTGCTTTTTTCGTAGCATACTTCTTGGCACTTGTGGGGGAAATATGGAAACTCCTACGTAAGCGCTGTATTTTGTTTTATTGTTTTTATTTAAGTCGTAAGCCAAGAAATTCTGATTGTAAAAACGGATATCAGCGGATATGCGATATCAGCACATTTACCATCCGCCAATATTAAATTTCTCGCGAATTTGAAATTCTCCAACGTCGTACATTGCCTGAAAAAGCCCACCAAACTTTTAAAATTACATGCGTTATTTACGGCTTAAAGACCTACCATTTATCATATCTACGGCTCTGGGGTCAAATTTTCCTCAGTTTGCCTGTTTACATAATGACCCAAATAAACATGTTTGTTGTTCTTAAGAGTCTTTTTTTAGAGTCCTATGTCCCGAGCACGGCTCTTTACCTAGCGCATATTAATGGGCGATTTGTTTGTGGCCCAGAGATATATGGCCCTTTGCTAAATAGCCTGCTTAAGGCGGCATACATATGTACCTGATTAAAAGTGGCTAAATCCCGCCAAGTCTTGTATCTACGTGGGTTCAGACGAGTGCTTGTGCAAATTCAAAGTTGATTGTTGAGTTTATTGTAGGTGTTGTTCTTTTAAAGTAAATAATTTCGAAACCGAAAAGTTCTTGGTCGAGTTCAGCAGGATTTCCCAGAGGAACTGGATATTTTGGGGAGTGGGCACACACACTTTGATTTGAAGTGTTGCCTCAAAAGGTCATGACAGTTATTGTGACCTTTATACGCAATCTCACTGCTATGATTCATAATCGATGGGCAATAAGAATGCACTTAAGTTCTGAATAAATATTTAGTTTTATAAACGATACTCTATTACCTATTTTTTGTTGGTAAGAAGAATTTAAGAAAACTAAAATTTCTTTTGCAGTCTGATAAATAAAACAAATGCCATAAAACTGTTTCTAAATGTTTAACGACAATTCTTTTGGCAGATTAATGTCGCAATGTTTTTCACACTGATATTTGCCCAGCACGAATGCAATACAAGAGTCACGGGTATCCAATAGTCGAGGCACTCGAGGACAGCGCTCGCTCATGTTTCGTGTATTATTTACACAACAATCATCGGGGAATTGGAGCCAGTTTTCAGCCAGGGTCAAGTCGATCGGAGTGACCTTCGTCGTGAAAAGCAGAAAATGAGCAATTTGACGATACCTCGTGTTGGGCTGGGACTTTCGACTTGGCCAGGAGACAACAGCCACGTCACACTGCCCCAAATTGGTACCGTCTGTGGAGGGAAATGTCACGCAATCCTGTGGCTTTCACAATGTAATTTGCGCAATGCATTCATTAAGCATTTGCTGCTTCTTGACGCTTGGCGCAATTTTAAACTCATTTGCATGGAAAGCTGACTCCTTCCCTGCTGACGAGTATAATTAGGTTCCCAACTCCTAATGCCGGCAGTCGGTGGCGAATTTTGTTGTGTTCATACAGCTCCACACAAATTTATGCTAACGAACTGAAACAACAGCCAAGCGGCGAAACCGCAATCTCGTTTGCGAAAGGAAAAGCTAAACTTCGGCCCAAATACATGGCTGTGGCAACTATAAAAGGGTCAGTTTAGATCACGACAAAAATGGGCATTACTTCCCGTTGCCACCAACAAAAAAGGGCAGCGAGTTGTACGCTAAATAAGCTGGGCTGTAAACCACAACAAACGTCAAAATTGCCGCCTTCATAACTTGACGACGCCGTGTCGTAGTTGGTATAGTTTCAAAATGCCGGAAAATACATAGGTGAAGGAGGAAAAGTGGCAGGGAAATTGTTGCCGACGGAAGTTGGCTATGGTAGCCCGAAAAGAGATTCAAAACTTTGCCAGCGAATCAAAACTTTCGAAGCTATAAATGCGCGATGATTAGCTTCTAAAAGTGAGTGAGCCTGTGACTCTTAGCCTCTTTGATTAAAAGGCCGAGATTTATCTAACAGGTTAAAATGTGGAAATGAAAATGGGTATTTTGCGTACTGACTATCAGTGTTACAATGTTGCGGAAAATAGAAATCCGATTGATTTATTGCATTACCAGTAGTTATGAGGCTAACGTTGAATACAGCAGATGCAGTTTCGGGGCAATAAATCAATTAATACCACTCACAATGAATTGATTATTTCGCTCTTCTTTCAGTGCTTCTATTTCATTTGGCAATTCGACACAAAAAATCCGACTTACCCAGGGAAACCTGAATGCCACAACTGACATCACAGTGCGAAACATAGGACAGCGAATCAAGTGATTTTAAATTGAACGAGGTCCAATAGCAATGCTAGTTTTGTGGAAAACAAAACCCATTTTGTCAAGAGAGCATTCTATGCCATGCTCGTACAATGGTTGGCAAGTGGGTGGAAAAGCAAACAAAATGGGTTAACCTGGACGATGGTTAAAATGTTTTGGATTTTCCGTCTAGCTGCAATTGTTTCGATTGCAGAGCCAGAAACACGTTTTATCCCATGCATTTCGTATGGAAATCGTCCGATTATCGAAGGGGCTTGCTGAAAAAGGTCGGAATGGTGATGTATTCGGCATGTCTTTCATTTTTTATGAGTTTTCCAGGAACTTACAGTCTCGTACACACGTTTCCCGTGCCGCTTGCGTACCGCATCCTTAACAAAAAAGCAACATTTAAGCGCGTCCTCTTGCTCCGATTTCTAAATGTGGCTAACGGCTGGCTATTAATTTCGATGCTCCTCTGCAAGCTCATAAATTGCCGACTTGATGAGGGGGAGCTGAGCAAACATAAAGTACTACAGCAACATGGACAACATAAACTCGGCGAGTAAATCACATTTTTCGTTTGTGTGTTTGCATTTCGATGGCATAAATTAAATTTAACGTGCGCCAGCAATGTCAGCCCCTAAGTGGGTGATGCTCAGACAAAATCAATTTTCACCATCCAGTTTTACCTGCACTTTCAGCGGAATGCCATGAATACGGCGCTTAACTGACAAACTTACGAGCCCGATTCCCAGGGGTTTGCCAGTATGTGTCCAAGGACGGCGGGACTTGGGGAGCTGGTTAAGGCATCTTTGCCGCAAGGACAAATGATTATGAGCGCCAGATAGCACGGCGTACACCAAATGCCATTTGAAAAGTCGAGCCGCCTGGGGCTTAAATGCCAGCTGGGGCTTACAGTTAATAGATTTTCGACATGGGTATGGACTTTTTGATACGCTCG